CGCGTCTGCCTCCGCGACCCGAAAGGAGAAGCGGCGATGGAAGATGAAGATGAAGAAGATGAAGATTTTTGCAGTTGGTAATAAAAAGCAATACAATTTAAGATGCTTGTTCCTTTGATGCATTTTAATCAAGGGACTTGGATCATCAACAAAATTTATTTTGTACAAAAAATAAGCACTTTCAGAGTAGTGTTCAATCTGGAGGCAGATAAACAACGATTAGAAATGATCCCAACAAATTCACTTTACCAAGCAATGCTCTTTCATGGCTTGATAAAGCACTGTTTCCAAAAATCGCTGAGCATCGTGTAAAGATGAGGCAAGTCATCACTCAGTGAATGGTCCTGATTTGTATATACCTACAAAAACAAACGATTTACGTATGCGTTATTCACAGAATCCAACACGTACCATCAGCTGAAATTGTATGTTACGTGAAACCATTGAGTTCACTAACATCATGGTATTTTGAAAGTGGACGTTATCTAAAGATAAAATTTATTTTGTAAGAACGATGGAGAAATGCAAATGACGATTTTCACAAAAGCCCGAAGTTAGCCATGTCATTCAGTTCCTAGCTGCACTGGTCACAACTCTAAAACGCGTAAAAAACTTTGTTATGCAACAAAATCCGTTGAGAGAGTCATTACCTGTTGTTGAATCTATTTTTAAGGTGCAGTAAATCCTTTTATTAACCTGCATAAGGTAACTCATTTATTAACATAGTGCTCGTTAAAATGAAAGTTTGCCCAGTCGTCTCAGGCTATTCACAGGAAAATGGACGGGACCAGGTGGACTTTAAATGGTTATTTCTCATTTTAAATTGTCATTAGTCATGGGCCATTCTTCATAGCAAGCAGAGAGTATGAAGCACTTTGAGATTGACTTATTAGAAATTAATATAGAAGCTAATTGATTATTTCATCCAAATATTTGTCCTGCATTATAATGTTTATCTCATGCTGGAAATATTGCATATTTGTTGTTACGGCTGTCATCATCTTTGCTTTAGCCGGCTCCACAGGCGTCCCCCCCCCCGGATTTCTAATTTTCACTTCTATCTGCCATGCGCAGTGTCTATTAACAAGTTCATCTACTTTTTCTTCTACGGATGCACTCGTTCACTGTCAGCCCTGAAAAGATTTCAGTGTCAACTCAGATAATGTCACACAAATTTTTAACTTGGACGTCTTCATTCCTTTGTCATTCAGAGACTCGGTTGAAATTCACTGTAATGGAGATTATATCAGCTTTTTCTTGATGAGCCTCTAAGCTCGTAACCAAACCAACGTCGTCTCAGTTCTTCCTAAGCAGCTGAGAGCTGGATGATGCTGATGCTCTCACATCTGCAGAGCAAGATAGAGCGAATAGCGGCCTGCCAAATTCCCCACCTTGTCTTCAGACCAAACTCTCGTCGTTTTTACAGCGACTTAGACAGACGGATGGAAGCTCTCTTGATGCTTGCGAACCAAAATTCAATGAAATGGAATTACTGATTGTCAACACAATGAAGTTTCTGTGTTTCGATGTTGCAAATAACTTTCCTGTTATCCAAAAAGTTTCAACTAAGTATGTTGAGAAGTTCGATCTATTGTACTGAACCTTAACAATATCCACTGCATGTGTCTGCGTATTTGTTCAGGTTATCATCTTGAGCCGTTTGCACAAACGGAACCTCTCTGGCTTGAAATATCAGCTATATTCGTTGGTTTTTTTACACTTGTGGTATATGACACCGGTAAACACGTGACAGAAAAAAATATTCCTATCCAAATGCACATCTGCCTCTACCTTGTTCCCTTTATGGTCTCCTGGTCCGTATCTGTCATGTTTTGACTCCCACGCTACAAGCGTATGGGCTAGAGTAAATGGTGTGGGCTCAACCAGGCTTTCTAACAGCACCAATCTCCTTCGTGCAATCTCCACGTCTACTAAGATCACATGTTCCACCGATGGTTGAATTTAGATATTAGTCGGGCATTGTTTATCATGATCACAAAGGGGTCATCAACGCATCTCTACTGTATTATTGGAGGTGCGAGATGGTTTTCTAGGGTCTCTTTTTCAAACTTCTCCATGAATATGCTGGCAATGATTGGAGACATCTGAGAACCCATTGGTGTATCATCCGTCTGTACGAGTCTCTCTGCCTCGAAAATAAGCCGAATGTTTCCATAAAAAGTTTCAGGCAGCTAAGCACCTCATGATGGTTCATTATACGATCGTTATAAGCGGTATTGGGGGTAAGCTTTCCTTCAAAGCACAGTGTTATTCTTTTAACTGATATGTTGTTGAAGAGGGAATGTACAGCGAAGCTCACCATGATTTCACTCTGGTTAGAATTTATATTGTTTAACTATATTTGTAGCCAAAACCTTGGTCCTTCGCCTAAACTTGCATTTTTAATAAGATCATGCCGTGCTCATGAACCAACTCACAGTCTCAAGTACTTATACGTGTATCAGTAGGCAGTGACAAACTTAAGTAATCGCAACTGATAAGGAGCGATGGTTGAGGCTAGTCTCCATAGCTGCTGTGTTGACCATAGGACCATCATTATCTCTGAAACTGTCACTAATAGATGACCAATAATTTTTATTTCCTTAAGAGCTATTTCTGTAAAACGAAAGTGCTATCACCGCAAACTTGAACCTGAGATTGAATGTGGAATCGCTTCAAGCATTTATGACAAAAGAAAGTATAGTAATTTCTCTATATTATTTTAAGAGGCTTCTGAGCAAAGGATTATGTTTTTATTTATTGAATGAAGGGAGAATGCGTTCAAATAGCAATAACTTAGAAACCGCTTTTCGCCAAGAAAATGTATGAATAATTTTTTACCGTCGAATGTCCCATGCGCTAGAAGATATTTTCCATGCTCAAACGCCGAAACGTTGCTGAACAGCTTGGTTCTCTAAACCGGTTTTTAAAGTTATGTTTCGCTCTAGTCACAACTTACCTCATATCCGGCCTTGTTGTCTTTCAACAAACCCATAAATCTTTCTGTGTACGCGGCATCTGTGGTCAAACATTTGATGCAGATACAAT